GCCGATGGTAATCCAAGACCAAAAGTCACGTGGTCTAAGCTGAATTCATCGCTTCCTGTAGGTCGTCACGTGTTAGAGTCCAGTGGTGCTCTGATTGTGAAGGACGTTAGACCTGGAGACGACGGTGTTTATAGCTGCATAGCTGAGAATTTGCTGGGGCAAGTGAATGCCTCGGCGAAACTAACTGTTCAGTGTAAGAGGTCCAATTTATGCAATTGACTTTTTAGAACAAGAGGTTGATGCTGTGTACCATACAGACACTTTCAAAAGATAACCTATGAATGGAATTTCAGAAAAAAAGACGACTAACATTCAACAGTATATGAAGTCCTGGGGCAATTTGTTGAAAGTGTTGATAAAACTAACCAGCCAACAAATCACCATTAAGTGGATGGATTAGTTTACTTTGTCAACACTAGCCAATTATACACTGGATAGTGATTTATCCTGTGGATAACGTTATCTACCCTTTTAACAAGCGGCCCTTGTGTTCTAAGTCCCACTTGGTCTCATGGCTGAAAGGCTTCAATCTAAACCGCAGACAAGAAATGTAACATAAACTACACCAGTTTGTTTTACCGAATAATCAAGATGTTTCTTTTTTTTTCACAGTTCCTCCTCATCTTTCATTGTCATCCAATCGATTGATGGCTGAAGAAAACCAAAACGTTTCCATCGCCTGCACTGTAACCGGTCGGCCTTTTCCGCATATCACGTGGTCCAAGTCAGTTGGTAGATTACCTGAAGACAGAAATGAAGTGATAAATGGAACCCTTAAAATCTACAGTGTGACAAGAAATGAAGGTGGAATTTACATTTGTAAGGCGGAGAATATTCTGGGATCAGTAACAGACGGCGCTTTGCTTATGATATTTTCTCCCCTGAAATTCCAAGTTCGTCCTCCTCTTGAAGTGACTGCCTCTGCGTTTGGATCAAGTGTTTATCTACCGTGTGTGGCTGAGAGTGACCTGAGAACAACAATCGCCTGGACGAAAGATGACAAGTCTTCACTTCCTGTAGAGTCTAATGTTCTACAGAATGGGACACTGCTTATAAGGAACTTCAAGAAATCGCACGAGGGATCTTACACCTGTAGAGCTACTAATGCTCTGACAACAATAGAAGCTAAAGTCAAAACAAATTCTCCAGCTACTGCAACTTCCTGTTCTGTGATAGGAAAACATGTCAGTAGTGCAAGCGGAAATTACGTCATTGACCCAGATGGCGCGGGAGGCCTGGCACCATTTACAGTTTATTGTGACATGAGTGACAAGAATGGAGTTGGCG